GGTACTGCCTTTACTTTAATGAAACTGCCGCACGCCAAGGTAACAGCCGGTCAGGAAAATTAGTAAGTTAGTAAGTTAGTAGTCGTTTCTGTTAAGGTCCCGAGTGATGAAACGATCTCTTCTGTCGAAGTGAAGAATGGCGAGCTGAGAATTGTTGCAAAAGCCAAATGAAGCCAAATATTTTGTAAAGCTTTAAAATACTACTCGCTGCACGCTGTATCTTGAGTACTCGAAAAGGCAACAAACCAGTCTAGTCTCAAGACCTCTAAGTTATGTTATTAAATAGATGATAAAATATTTTTTAAATCTGTTAAATTTTTGTCTCAGGATTTCGCATTGTGTATCATTTGCTCGACAATGTAAGCTTATGTACAGGAAAAACAGCCACAAAGCTAGGTCTAAGTTTTTTGTACTTGTAGTTTTTTATTGTTCGATTACCTCACTGGGTACTAGACTTGTCACTGAATGCACAGCCCGCGGTGTAAATAAATTCTACTTACTTTTTATTTACATACCTCATTTTATGATGAAGCTGTGTCGAATGTGCAGCAAATACTTATTGTCTATACTGTTTTTTATTTGTTTTTGTGATATTACACAGTAGACCAACTGGGTTTTGCCATGCTCTTTTATAACTCATCATTTGTGTCTTAATAAATAAATTATTGGTAACTTTGGTTTTGATTTGATAGACAATTTTGTTACCCTGATTGAAGAGGGTGATGTAGTTGATGAGATACCATCGTAACTACCATTTGGCCGGACAGGAGACGGTATCGTAGACACCTTTTTTAAAAAAAATAATTGTGTTTGAATATTTCAAATTTCATGGCAAACAAGATGCTTTGAATGCCATTTTAGAGAATGATGATTGCATTATCCCAGTGCCAACTGGTGGTAGGAAAGACTGAGTATTAAGAAGTTCTTGGGATCATTCTACCCAGATTCAACATTGTTGTTCCCATGATTGCTCATACATGGTTCCTTTCTTGGCAAACCTGTGGTAGCATAAAATTCCCCTCAAAAGTCTTCTGAAGGGGTAGTTTTTGACCTGCTTTGGAGTTGCAGAGGAATACAAGATCACCTAATAATTATCAATGGACACAGAATTACCTTGAAATGCAAAAAACGTTAAGATAAGTATAGATGGTTCTGCATAACTACTAACCCCCAACCCCCTTCCTAGAAATTTTAACTACAAAATTATAATCAAGATTCAAGCATTGAATGCAAAGAACAGTAAAAACAGGCCCGTGGACAAACTGGAAGAATATGCTGTAAAAAACACTACACTACACTATTAGTAGGCTAGTGTCAGGTCTATTAACAGTGTCAAGCAATGAAAAATGCCAGCTGTTTTATGTACGGACCAGAAGCTCAGCCATGCAAAACCCTCACCCCTTTCCATTGCTTCCACCTCACCCAGAGAAATAGAAAATATTGCTCCTATTCCTTAAAGTAGTGTCACTGGACATTGAATTGATGTATGTTTTATGAACTTCTACCAAGATTATTGAACTAAGATGTGGTCAGGTCATTGAACTATGGTCAGCAAAAGAGAAAACCTGTACCTGCACCCCTAATCCAACTTAAACTTGATCTAGCTGTCTTGCCCAAAGTAATGTATTTACATTCGGCGGAGCTAAACGTAGTGGCAGTGACAGAGAATGTAAATACTTTCCTATTGGTATGAACGCACGTGAGCCGCTATGGCGCTAATTGACTCTATTGTTATTAGGTATATAAGGTTTTGTCAGTTCTAATGTATTCATCTTAGCTCTCGAACTAGCAACTTTTAAAATGCCGTCCGATGGTGATCTCGCGCGAAGCATTTCCGAGCTCAAATATAAAAGACGAGTTTCGTTCTGTTTTCAATCTTCTTTAAAGAGAGAACTTGCACAAGGACACGACGCTGCGCTGGACAAGCTCAAGACAGCTACTGTCAGTGTTCCGTAATTTAAAAAGAAAGGCAACGAGAAGCATTTCTTACCTAATTCTGAAGTTCTTGAACACGTCCAGTCTGCTTCGACCGCCCTAGGCGTCTTCGCCTCAAGCTGAAAAGACCTCGGGAGCCGCTTAAAGGAAGGTTCTATTTTTCGAACCCGTTCGGTGCTGTCAATTGGCCTAAGGCTCACCGTGGTTCGCGTGTTGGCAGTTGCTTTGCTTGTGGCAGTTTCGGCCATTTCAGGAATTAGTTGCCCGTCCTACAGGCGCAGTTTTCAGCTAGCCAACCTGGGAAACGTTTACGTGATGGACTGGGATGTTGGTGCACCCGTCGAGGACACAGATAAGTTAAGGAACTTTGTTGAAGATGATTTTGACTTTTTTGAATATGAACAGGGTCGTAGTTCTACTATCGTTGTAGCCGGTAGGCTAAATCCCATATTCAGTTTTGGCGTTCTATAGGCGCCAGTCAATATATTCTGGACGTTATCGAGCATGGTTATCGTATTCCTTTCCACTCTACACCCCCTGTTAATGAGTCAGATTTGGCGCATTCTGATTTTGTTAACGAAGCTATTTCCGAATTGTTTCTTGGTTACCAATCGCATTTTTGAATCGGAGGTCCTGCCCCATAACCTCAACCCACTTTCCGTTTCTCTTCAGTCATCTGGGAAGAAGAGGTTGATCTTGGACCTTAGTTTTGTGAATAAGCATGTCTGGAAGCATAAAGTCAAGTTTGAGGATCTTTAGGTTGCTCTGAATTATTTTGACAAGGGTCATTTCATGTTTTCATTTGACTTTAAGAGCGGTTATCATCATGTGCTTATCTTCCCGCCCCACCAGAAATTTTCGGGTTTTTCCTGGTTTTATCAGGGTAAGGTCCGTTATCCTTGTTTTTAGGGTCCTGCCCTTAGTCCTCTGTTCGGCCCCTTTTGTTTTCACAAGATTTTTAGGCCTCTCGTTGCCTACTGGAGGCGGGATAGTATTCACATTGTTGTTTATCTTGATGATGGTTTAGGGGAGGGGCCTTCATTTCAGGTTGCTTTAGCCCATTCCACCTGGGTTAAGACTGATTTGGTTCGTTCTGGCTTTGTACCCAACCTCGATAAATCTGTTTGGGTTCCTACATCGAGTCCTTTATTGGTTGGGCTTCACCATTGATCTTTTTCAGGGTTTGCTTTTGTTCGATCCGGGGATAAAGCTCAAGCGGGTTCTTTCTGATATTGATTCCCTTTTAGAGGCTAATTGTTGCACCGCCAGGGAACTGTCCGCTCTTGCTGGTCATATTAATTCGTTTAAAATAGCTGTAGGTAATGTTACTACATTGATGACAAAGTGTATTCATATGTCCATCGTCCTTCAGCCTAGTTGGGACTCTAGGTTTCCTTTGTCCGATTCTGTCAAGAAGAGCTTTTTTTCTGGAAAGAGAACGTTCGGTGTTTGAATGGGAGGCCCATTGGGCGTCACTTTTCATGTTCTCGTTCCATTGTTTATTCAGATGCTGGTGACCTAGGGGTTGGCGGTGTTGTTAAAGACCACAAGGGTGTTATTTATCATCTTCCGTGGACTGCTATGTAATGTTTCGCAGCTCCACCTGGCGTGAGCTTAAGGCAGTCTATACTTGTCTCTCTAGTTTTTCCGTAGTTTTGTCAGGGTGCGCGGTTCAATGGTTTACGGATAACCGCAACATTCCGTCCATTATTTGCAACGGGAGTATGAATCGGGATTTGCACGAAATTTCCCTCTCTGTTTTTCAGCTAGTTTTGCGATATGGTATTGACTTACAGGTGGACTGGATTCCTAGGTCTCTCAATGAGCACGCGCTGATACTATCAGTAGGATCGTTGATTTTGATGACTGGGTTGTTTCGTTTGAATTTTTCCGCCTTGTAGACAACATGTGGGGTCTACATTCCGTGGATCGTTTTGCCCATTCCCATATATATAACCGTAAACCACCCAGATTCTTTTCTCGTTTCTAGAATCCTGACTCGGAGGGGGTAGATGCCTTTTGTTTTGACTGCATGGGCGGGGGAGAATAACTGTCTCGTACCCCCAGTGTCCCTTGTTCCCCGGGTTATTGGGCATTTGTTTCTATTTAGGTCCATGGGCACTCTTATTGTCCCTAAGTGGGTCTCAGCTCCATTTTGGCCCATGCTCTTTGGTCCCCATTCCCCCTTTTCCGTTTTCGTTAAAGAGACCATTGTTTATACCGATGTTTCTAATTTTTTTTTCCGGGCTCTACAGAGTCTATTTTTGATGGCCCTAATTTAAGTCTCGTATATTAGCCGTCCGTTTGTCGGCTTGTTAGATTTGTGCTTTTAGGCTTAGTTTCTTTTCGCGGTTGTTTAGCCTATATTAAAGTGTGGTTTATTATTTTTGAGTGATTTGTTCTGTTTTTTCTTTTGCCTCGGTGGCATTTGTGCGGGTGTCGGTGACCTTGTCTGTACCTTCACTGATCCCGACGGGTCGTACCGTTACATTTTTGCGTGACCTCGGTNTTTTTTTTTTTTTTTTTTTTTTTCTCGTGCATCTTTTTCCTTTTTTAAGTCCTTATGTTGAAGCCATTTGGTCTTTTATTTCTTCTGTATTTTCAGATGTTTTCGCTAGCCCTATGTGGGCTGAGCTTAACGATGTCAAAGCTCCCTCCCTAGGCTGCTTAGCAGGAAAGCTACCAGAGATAGTCTTTGGTTCCAGGGCAGATTCCAGTACTCTCACCTGCTTCAACGGTTTTAAGCGATGGCGTGGTTGGTTCAACAGATTTCCCGAGGTCGCAGTGCTGCCTGCTACTCCGGCTTATGTTTCTTTATACCTGCTCAGTGCTCTCCAGGCTTCTAGTTCTCCTGCGCCGGTCCAGAATGCCTTCTGTAGCATCTGCTGGGCTCATGATGTTGCTGGTTTCGACTCTCTTACCAATCACTTCCCCAGAAGGTCGTGGAGTCCGCTAAGAGAAGGCTATTACACCTTACTTCCAAAAAGCTTCCCATTACACCCGAAATTTTACAAAAGTTTTTTCAGAGTCTCGATGGATCTTTGGTGGACACGAGATTCACGGCTATGGCGTTACTGGCCTTTGCGGGGTTCTTAAGATTCGACGAATTGGATAATCTGAAACTTAAAGATTTAGCTCTGCATGACACTCATTTTGAACTTTTTATTGAAAGCAGTAAAACTGACCAATTTCGCGAGGGCGCTATTGTCCCCATTGTCAAGTCTGGCACGGATCTTTGCCCCTGGGATAATTTAGAGAAGTATTTATCGCAAGCTAAACTCACGTTACCGACATCTTCCCAAGGTGGAGACGACTATTTGTTCGGAAATGTTCAAACCAAGCCTGGCTCTCGGTCCATCCGCCTAGGCTCCAAATCGTCTTATACAAGATGTAGAGAAATTTTATTGAAGAAGATTGCAGACGTAGGCCTAGATCCTAAGTCCTTCTCTTGGCACAACTTCAGAAGTGGCGGTGCATCTGCCGCCGCTAATGGTGGTATCTCTGATAGAATGTTTAAGCGCCTTGGTAGATGGCGTTCGGAAAACGCTAAGGATGGCTACGTTGCAGACTCGTTAGAGAGCCGATTAGCGGTCTCTATGTCTCTTGGACTGTAATTGTTTCCCGTTCTTTGTTTTCTCAGCCGCTCCATAGTTCGAGCTGCACACCCATTCCCGTCTCTTAGTCGTGAATATAAACTGGAAATGTATTTACATTCGGCGGAGCTAAACGTAGTGGCAGTGACAGAGAATGTAAATACTTTCCTATTAGTATGAACGCACGTGAGCCGCTATGGCGCTAATTGACTCTATCGTTATGAGGTATATAAGGTTTTGTCAGTTCTAATGTATTCATCTCAGCTCTCGAACTAGCAACTTTTATTTTTATATCTTACTTTATTCATCTATCGATTGATTTTTTACCTTTAACCCCCAGAGGTTGTGCGACCGCATCGGTTGGGGAATACGTTCCCAATTTTTTCCCATTGGGTTTTTGGGGTTTTCGTATCAGGCGGCGCACATGAATAGTTTAGCCTGAGTACATTACTTAGGAATATTTGTATACCATTCTTTAGTATGATGTTGATGTTTGTATGTTATTTGGACGGCATTAAACACTCGGGCTCCATAGTTCGAGCTGCACACCCATTCCCGTCTCTTAGTCGTGAATATAAATAGGAAATAAAATACTTTGCTCCTATAATTCCTTGATTTTGGACAACGGAAATTGGGTTGATGTGTGTTTTTTGAACTAATACTGTGATAAAAGCATGTGTACAGTTGCCCCTTCCCCTCAGAAAAAATTTCTGTACATGGGCTACTGAGATTATTGAACGGGCATGTTGTCATTGAACTGACTTCTGTTAAAAAAGGGTTAGGCCCTTTCCCCTTCTTTTACATTTGTGGGTCCCAATAAAGTTACATTGAGACTACAGACCTCGAGTTTGAATGAGATGTAGTAGTGTGGTCATTGAATCATTGCGTTTTAACTGAACTACATACTTTATTCAACCTTTATTCAAACAGTTTTAGTCTTGCAATAGGGGTGCCATCATGCCAGACATCTAGCTAAATAAAATTAGTAGTGTAACAATTAATCAAATCGCTTGATTAATCGTGATTATGCCCGTTCAGTTCAATTCAGGATTCTTTGCTTCCGCATTTCGATTTTGGTTCAATTTTTGCACACCTTTTCCAGGGTGCCCTCAGTGAGTTATTATAGTCTAAAATAAGAATCCAGAACTCTCTAATGACTGTTTTTGATTGACGAGCAAAGACGATAGCAGTTCGTGAGTCATTTTGAGTTGCCTGGCAAAAATGCTGTCCTTCAACCTCCCCTTGAGAATTTTCAAATAAGGCAATTAACCATGTGCAACACACTCTTTGTCAGGTTCTCAAACATGGCGACGAACCAAGCGACTGTGATTCCTCCTGTCTCTGTTACTATTGTTATATTGAGGGTTTAGGATTGTATGCTGTTTACATTGCGCGTTATGTTATAGGAATTAAGAAACATATACGTAATCGAATCCAAATCCAAAGGCAATAATCGAAATCGAGTCGAATTGCAAGGAATATGAATATTTACACCCATAAATAAAATGAAATAAAGTTAAAACTAATGAAAGCAATAACAAAATCTCTTACAAAAGATAAAATTGATAAATATATTTTAGCATTAATTATTGTACAATATATAGAGGATATTACATGGCTGCGCGGAGAAACAAAATTTCTCCTCGAGTGTTGAAAAATATTTCATTAGTGGGCGCAGCAAACGAGTGAAATATTTTTTCAACACGAGAAGAGAAATTTCGTATCTCCAAGCGGCCATGTAATGTTCTATTTATTATATAAACACCAATGAAATACCAAACCATTTCACTTTAACAGTTTTTTTGGTGTGAAAGGCGCAATTTACTATGTAAGATAACATGTTATTTTCACATGTGAAGATATCAAGTTTTCGCGCGAAAGCTCACCTGGTACTTCATTGGTGTTTATATAATAATTAAAAATACTTTAAAAAATTAAGCTAGAAAAGACTGCCTTTATAGCTGGAGATTTTCGTTTGCCTCATCAAGATTGACAGAGGTAGTCCAAAATAATTGATTGATCACTGCTGGCACCTTCCTTCTCTTCAACCCCTTCCCTGATCCTAAAATAAAGTTCATCTCTCGAGAATCTAGGGATCTTATACCGAGAGTTAGGTAATTGTAAGCTTCAACAATTCAAGTTATGCATCTTTATTTATTTTGTCAAAAGCATCAACTGAAATATATCCATCTGTCCCTGGTTTCATGGTTAGTAACGTAGCCGACTTAAATCTTGGTGTAAGGACATTATGTGGTCTTGATAATCAACTTCTTACCTTGCACAATCTAGCTAGGCCTTGCACTTCTTTCAGTTCACAAGGTTACTTACTCGTTGTTCGGTAGCTTTGGCCTAAAAGAGCGAAAAATAGAAACATAGTCGCCGGCGCTGTACTTTACTAATCCGGATTCTGCAATAAACGACAAATTAAATACTAAAATATAAGACTTACCTGATACCGTCAAGGCATCAAATATTTTGTTAGAGGTCTTCGATTCGTAATTTTTGAGCAATTCACCTGTCTACTCAAAGTTTACAATGTTTACAACAATATGCTAATAAAATTGATCGCTTCCAAGACTTAAAAAGACCAAAAATTGGGCCGTGCCAAGCCAACGACTTTTTTGCCAAAAAAACGACACAAGATCTGGCAGGCGCTTCGCCTGCTGTGTGTACCATTCCCATGGTCCCTTGCGGTTTATCACCAGTCACTCGTTTCGCGCTCGCCTCTGCCATGCGAAAAACGAAGCGCCTGAGGAGGAGGCTGCCTGAGGACTGGGATGTTGACTTTGCCTTTCCAGATTTTATCGTAGCTTTGGTTGAACGAGATCGAAGCTGATGTAGAAACTGAATCGTAACCTTTCCGTGGAAGAAAATAATTTATGGTCAGTGTTTGAAAATTTTAACGCAGATCACGCTTAAAGACGAGAATGAACTGGCAGAAATTCGAGAGGTTTTCCCAAAAAAATTAACGAGCGAATCCTTCAACAATGACAACAAACTTACCTTGAAAAGCTTCTTTGCCTTTTGCAGTGTTTTTTTTTTTTCACAAGGACCAACGGAGGAAAGATGGAAACGACTTCGAGAAAGACACAGTGCCCGGTTTCCAAAATACTCCATTGTTACATTAAAGAGCTAAAACTTACATCGCTGTTAGTTTTGACCAAATAAACTTTTTCAACATGGCGAATTTGTTTTCACTTTCTCGGAAATCCTTTGTTGTGTGCTATTGTTTTAGCGAGCCAACAAAAACTTTCTTTCTTGACGCGCCTGTCAAATGATTGTCAAATCGCGCGTCCTGCACTTGTTTCCGGTCCCCAAAATTGGAAGAAGCCATATAATAAACCTCTTATTAGCCTCGTCTTTTCGGTCCGTACTATAAATTACGGATCCTCGTTTTTTTCCATCGATTTATGGCCCAAGCGTGAAAAGCGCGGGCCATAAATCGATGGAAAAAAGCTAGGTCCGTAATTTACAGTACGGACCGAAACTCGATTAATAAGAGGTATATATCTCGTTCTGTAAAATGGGGCGGCATTCTGCCTTTGCCTTTGTAATAACTCCAATTCTGTCTGCAGTTTATCCTTGGAAGCTTTATAGGCTTCTGCCTGGCAAAGATCATCAGTCGCATATGGGGGATCACAAGGGAAAAAAAATAGCTGAAAGATGATAAAGAACAAGAAAAGTTTGTCGACGTCGATTAAATATTTTTAAAACGGGTATGACGTCCAATATGACCCACTCTAACGAAACTGATGCCTGTGGGCAGAAGGCTGTGTCAAGCTGTAGGACCGATAAAACTGGCTGGTGCATCGTAAGAAAAAAGTACGTTAAAGTTCAAAGAGGCTTTATGGCTTTGACTTAAATTACGAACCCGGGTTTTTTAAGTAGCGGCTGCTTGTACCACTCTCGCCCAGTTGGTCACCATCAAACGGTAATAAATGTATGGAAATATAGCTGAGTGACACATTTCATCTCTTGACGTATGGTAAGATCACTCGGATCATGGTAGATCAAATGAACCGATGAATCCACTTCTGAGCAAGGATTCATCGGATCATTTGATCTATTATGATCCGAGTGATCTTGGATCAGTGATCCTGATCCGGATCATCTGAAAGGAACACACCCTTAAATACCCAATAAGGTCACGCAAAAATTAGTTAATTATTGCTTTTTAGCATGTGAATTACCACAACCGCCATGTCTGCTCGAAAGGACGACTTTCTCACCGCTGGGAATTAACTTGTAGCCAAATTTGTTGTATCGCGCTGCGTGTTAGCCTGCGAAGCGCAGACGCATTTCCGGTCGTCGCTTCTCTCCCTCCGAAAAATAGCGTCTGCGAACCCGAGCGGCAAAACGATTTCCGTGACGTAAAACCTTTTGTTTTGATGTAGGCCAATCAGATCAAAGGATAGAATACAGCTCGAGTGACTCCTCGCGACCTCGCGCGCTGAAGTGTCTTGGATTTTGGAGAGAATTACCAAATACGCTTTGGAACGTGAATTTCACGACCATAACAAGGTTTCCTGCGACGTTGAATGCTGACTTCTTTATGAAGCAACTGCTTCTTAAGCTATGTATGTGATGTGGGCCTTTGGTTTCGCTTTATAAAATACGGTAGTACGTGACATAAACAAAACCTGGACAAAATAATCGCTACAGCGAAAGGAAAGCAACATAGCTTAATGACATCGCGCTCAGACTTATTTATTTCAATTTAACCAGCGCTGACAAAAGGTGGTGAATCAATTACACAGACACATCCTTGACTGATTCAGAAATCTCTAACAATCGCTCGTTAATAATTCTAGTATCGCCACAACACAATGATCTGAAATATTATAAACCTGGGCCAGACCCAGCGTGAAATAAATAGTTACAGCAGTAAATAGATCATAGTCAAAATGACATTTCAGCTACGACGCTTCTACTCATCTCACAAAAAACTATGGAAATGAGAACCTTGAAAAGAACATGTATTTAAAGAAATATACCGGAGCAAATATAAAATGCTTTCGATC